TATCTAGGAAAGAGTATTGTTTAATTTTAATATAGATGTTACTCTTTTTATATTTAATTAACAATTATGTTCATATCATTGATTAATATTTCAGTTATCTTAGATACTATAGAATAATATTCTGATAAAAATGTTTATGAACCGCAAAACCATTTTAAAGTTAGAAAATCCGGCGCGTAGCGCCGGTAACCACTAGTTATTATTATAACTAGGATTCGGCTCCCCGCGAAACGAAAAAATATATTAAAAATTTAAATAATCATTTATGAGAATGGTTTGCATTAATAGAATAATATATATATATAAGTGAAAATGTTTTTAAAAATTATAATTAATATAGTTAAGATTTAAATGATAATATACAGATATATTTTTAATATAATAATTTATTAAAACAAAAAAAATACTGTAACTACGTAGTAATAAAATAATATAATTTTTAAAAGATCAGTTTTAATGTGATAAATAACGTATAGATACTTTTAAAATTGTAGTTTCATCAAATTCAAGGAAACTTTTTTTTTCTGTAACACAATTCAAGGAAACTTCTTTTCGTTAACTTTGAGAGAGGGTTTTTGATTTTCATGCAAAGAGGAACAAGAAGAAAGGTGGGTCTGTGACTAAAACAGAAACCTCCATTAATTTCTCCACCCCATCTGATCAGAGACCATGGCACACCCGTGACAATGACACTGAAAATATAAGACATTATTTGCTCACAAGTTTTAAAGTAAACGTCTTTGATCAAAATCAAGAATATCTCTGTATATGTGAAAGTGCAATAAAACTACCACTACTACTAGTAGTACTAGCTAGACCTGCCTTTCTCTCTCTCTCTCTCTGCTTTCTTGTTTTGACAGTTTGGTTTTATAGTCCTAGGCACAGCTTTTTATCTTTTTTTCACTCCTAGCTCTCAAGCTGTTCTTGTTGTCCTTTTTTCTTTTCTTAGAGGACCCCTATCCTACTATAGAACTCACTTTATGGTGATTTGAAACAAGTCAGCTTGTCGCACAGACCAAAGATTGTCTTTTTCAATCTCCATGCCTTGATCTCTTTGGATTTGCCTTCTGCTTTGTCTTGTTCTTGATGTAAAACCCATCTTAAAAAACACCTAAAGATCATACATTTTTTAATTCTATTTTTGACTTGGATTGCTTTTAAGAGATTCTTCATCTGAGTCTCTGTTGTAAATATGTAATCTTTTCCTTTCTTTATCATCTGGGTTGTCTAAATATTCTTGCCCATCTGTGAGGTATCTTACTTTTCTCCTGCCCTATTGCAGAATAAAAGGGTCTTCAATGACAGGCATTAGCTCCTGAATGCTTGAATGGAAGTTTTATATGGTTCCAAGAAAACAGCAATGGCAAAGCAGCTACAACAATCTATCACTGATACTACAAGACCGCCTCTTGAGCCAGCTGAGAAGAACAATGCTGTCCCTGCCACACGTCGGTCTAGAACAATGGAGGTCAGTTCAAGATACAGATCACCAACTCCCACTAAAACACGAAGATGCCCTTCACCTAATGTCACTAGGACTGTGTCATCAACCTCTCAGTCCTTGTCGAAAAGAGCTGTTTCAGCAGAAAGGAAACGCTCTTCAACGCCAACTACTCCCACTAATCCGTCCACACCGGTTAGTGATGTATCTATAGATTTTCCGAATTCTTCTAAGAGACTATCTACTGGTCGTGTACCTGAAGGCTTGTGGCCTTCTACTATGAGAAGCCTCAGCGTTTCATTTCAGTCTGATTCAGTTTCAGTTCCTGTTGTTAAGAAGGAGAAACCGTTTGTTACTTCTAAGATTGACCGGACATTGAGACCGTCTTCAAATGTAGCGAGTGAGACAACAACCTCTGTGTCTAGGAAACATACCCCCGAGAGGAAAAGAAGTCCATTGAAGGGTAAGAATGTGTCTGCAAGTCAATCAGAGAATTCAAAACCTGTAGATGGTTCTCATAGTAGGTTAATAGAACAGCATCGATGGCCTAGTAGAATGTCTATGAACAGAAGCTTGGATCTTGGTGAAAAAGTGGTTAGGACAACGTCTCTGTCTTTGTCAAATAAAAGCTCTAAACCTTTGCAGAAATCTTCTAGTGACACGGTGAGGTTGTTGTCCTGTCATGAAAATGGTGGACTAGTAATGTCTCCAACAAATTCAGAAGATGGTAATAGTTTAACATGGACACATGACTCTCACAGGCTATTGTCTGCAAGTTCATTAGATAGGGCAACTTCAGCTAGAGTGCACCCATTGTCTGCTCCTGGATCACGCGCTGCTTCTCCAAGCAGATCCTCATTTTCATTTTCATCGTCATCATCATCATCCTCTAGTTCTAGAGGCATGAGTCCTTCAAGAGGCGCAAGTATCTCTTGTTTGAGATCGTGTACACCGCCACCAAGAGGTGTAAGTCCTTCCCGGATAAGACAAGCCAACATGTCTACAAGCACCCCAACCTCAGTTCTCAGTTTCATGGCTGATGTTAGGAAAGGAAAAAAGGTGAGTTACATAGAAGATGTTCATCAACTGCGCTTGCTATATAATAGATATTCACAATGGCGTTTTGCAAATGCTCGAGCTGAAGGGGTCAGATATATTCAAAGGTTAATCGCAGAGGTAAATTACATAGGAAGAAGTTTCATTCGTAGATTTAACTGTGACATAGTGTGAAGTGTTTCTTCCACTGTTTTAACAATCTTGAGGTTACAGGAAACTCTATATAATGTTTGGCATGCAACATCAGAGCTAAGAGATCATGTGACAGCTCAAAGAATCTACCTCCAACAGTTAAAGCTAGAAATCAAGCTTGAAGATATCTTAAGTAAGCAGGTACGTCTTCTCTCTTTGCTCTCTCTCGTCTAACAGCTACGTGTTTATCAGATTATCATCCTCGTGATCTAAATAAGTATTTCAACAGATGGTTTACCTTGAAGATTGGGCCATACTTGAGAGAGAACACGTTAGTTCTCTAGCTGGTGCCATAGCAGACTTGGAAGCAAATACTCTCCGCCTTCCACTAACCGGAGGAACTAAGGTACCTTTTCATAGAGTGATAGAAAACAAGTTGGAGACAGAGAATTGAGTTATGATTTAGTAAAGCTCTTGTGATCATAGGTGGAGCTTGGATCTCTGAAGTTGGCTATGTCCTCAGCACTTGATGTTATGCAGAATATGGGATCATCGATCTGCTCTTTACACTCAAAGATGGAAGAGATGAATAAGCTTGTTTCAAATCTCGCTGTTATAGCTACAAAAGAAAAATATATGCTTGGCAAATGTGAAAATCTATTGGCATCAACTGCAGTCATGGAGGTAATGAATCAAACAAAAATGTAAGAATCTATATGTTAACACGTTGACAGTTTTTCTTTGTGTGAATCCAGGTAGAAGAGAATAGCCTCATGACTCATTTGGTGCAAAAGAAGCAAGAAGAAGAAGTAAGAGATGATGCAGAGTCTCAATTGTTGCCATTAGGCTCATTAAGCAAGTGCCTATGGACGTAACAACACACTTAGAGTTTCCACGGCTAACTTTTAAAAATTCTTCTGCTAACACTGATATCAACTAAGTTGCATTATAGCATTGCCTGTTGTAAAGAAAACAAAGAATTGTGTATCCACTAAGTTGGTTAAGTTACACAAAAATGATTCCAGGCAAGATCGACAAACAGAGAACATCATTCAAGTAGGACTAGTTCTATTTGTTACAGCTCTGCTAGAAAAGTAAAATATACAAAACTTTAGCTTTAAAATCCTTGACCTCATGCGTAAAACTCCAGGTTCGATTTGTAGACAGAAATTTTATGGAGTCGTCGTTATTTCTGCAGCTGAAACTTCACTTTCTCCAGCCAAAACTTGGTTTTCCGCAGGTAAAACTTCGTTTTCTGCAGCTATTTTCTTCTTCTTTCTGGAGGATGGTTCTTGTGGTTTCCGGATCATTTCTTTGTTTGGCACCAAGATGATGAACAAGTTTCTGTCCCTAAAGTTTTTACTCTCTTCAGTCGCAAGCTACAGATGCGAAGCAAGTTTCAGTAACTCACACGATTCCATTACAGTTCTATATGTAAGAGAGAAGAAAGAATATGTTGTTACCTCCCCTACTTCTGTCTGAAAACGTCTGAGGAGTTCAATAGCAATATTTCTGAACTCGTTCTCTCTTCCTTTCATGCTCACAATCACCTTAACCTGAGTGTGCATTACAAGAAGTGCATAAACAAATATAAAAATTAAATAGGACAGAATTATCTCGCAGCTTATGAAAATATGGATAAACAACCTTGTCACCATCTTGCAAGAACTTTTGGGCAGCTTTCATACGTACAGAATAATCATGCTGATCAATGTTATAACTGCCAAGAGAAAGAAAGGAACACAACCTTTGAGAAGAAGTAGTAGTTCTAAAGAATTCACTGATGAAAACAACACAAATTACGAAACTGAAATGTGTAAACAATATTACCCCATTTTAAGCTCCTTTAAGTCCATGCGAGTAGCTAATACGAATCAACACAAGATAATAACAGATCAGCTATTAGCTACAAAAGCATATATCTCCCCAACTCCAGAATTACGAATAGAAGAGTATTATTCATTACTTTTCTTTTGTTGATCCTTCTTCTTCTTTTGCTGCTCATATCTATATTTACTGATAACGAAAAAAAAGATCGCCAAGTTAATATTATGCCTTGTTCTGTATATGTAAGAAGACATTTGAATACAAGATACTCACCTATAGTCCATCATTTTAACAACGGGAGGATCAGCATCAGGCGATAAAATCACCTAAAAAAAGAATACATACACACAAGAAGCTAAAGCATCACAAGAGAAAAAAAAAAAAACATTGCAATGAAAAGTTACACATACCAAGAAGCTAAAGCATCGCAAATGAAAAAAAAAAACATTGCAAGGGAATGTTAGTTACACATACCAAATCAAGCTCAGCATCTTCCGCTCTTCGAACAGCTTCATCTTTAGACACTAAACCAAGCTAAGAGACCAAACACAAAAACCACAACTTTCATGGTTCTGTTTTGTCTGAATAATAATTAAAAAAAAAAAAGAGAGTAAGCTTTTTTACCATGTTCTGTTGCTCATCGATAAGCCTCACAGTAGCCGACCTAATCGAGGAGATATCTAACGCTTCATCCACTTCTGCCTCTTTCGGTCTACCTCTCCTAGAGTCTCCCGAGAAACGATAACCTCCTCCTCCTCCTCCACCTCCGTAACGGCAAGTGACGGCGAGCCCACGGCGAGGAGAATTGGGAAATGGCAGCTCGGCGGTGGTGAGACGAAGACCGTAGAGTTTGGAATCGAGAGATGAAACGGAGAAGGATGAATGCGACGAGTTTTTGGTGATTCCGGGGAAAACGGCGTTGAATCCAACGGTGCTGGTTATCCCAGCCATAGCGATTTTTTACTTCGGAGCTTCAATTCGAATCTGCGAGAAGCTCTTATCCAGAGAAATGCAGATTGTTGGAACTACGTCGTTTTTGAAAGTTAGTGTTCGATACCCAACGATAACTGTTATGGGCTGCTTACTAGGATGGGTTTACAGCAAAAGGGCCAAATAATGTGATCGATTTCATTTTAGGGGAAAGTGGCAATTTCAATCCCAATAAATTCAGTCGTGGTATACCCCGAACAAATGGTCAGTAACAAATATGAACCTCAATTCAATTATTATGTAAAAACACTACCAAAACTTCTTATAACATACCTAAATCTACAATGAATCTAACCAAAGTTAATCAATCATTAACAAGATAAAATAACTTTGCTTTGATATACGATCCCAACAATTTTAGTCGTGTCAAATACGATCCAGAAAATGATCAATACCAAATACGACCTCAACTATAATAAAAACTATCAGGACTTTTTAAAACGTGCATAAATCTACATTGACTCTAAGATAAATTGTCAACCATTAATAACATAAAACGACGTCGTTATGATATATATATATATATATATATTTAAATATGTTCATTCAAGAACTCAAATCCGTACAATGATATTCTTTTGAAGGGGCTCATTAACAGCTAGACTAAAATAATTTTTGAAATGTTGTTACAAATTTGAAAATTAATGAACTATTATTCTTCTTTATCTTATCCAATTTATAATTTTGGTGATGATTATTTCTGATTTATATAAATGGATTAACATGTTTTTTTACTTATAATATCTTAATAAGTAGAAGTTCATAAATAGCTTCAAAGTTATAAGTATATTTAATATAGTATAATTATAAGTATTGTATTTATTTATATTTTAGCAAGATATAAGTTTATTAAAGATATGATAAGTAAAAAACATGTTAATGTATTTATGTAAATCAGAGAAAATCATCACCAAAATTAATAGGAAGGGAATAGTAGTTCATATAATTTCAACATAGATTTTAGGCATGTTTTAAGAAGTTAGGATAGTTTTTTTTAATTAAATTGAGTTGAGGTTACATTTGGCACTGGCCATTTGTCCGGATCGTATTTACGACTGATATTGTTCGAGTAGAAATTGACAATTTTTATCATATATCAAAACAACGTCATTTTATCTTATTAACGGTTGACTAATTTCTATTAGAATCAATGTAGATTTAGACACGTTTTAAAAAGTTAGATAATATTTTAAAATAATAGCTGAGTTGAGATATATTTGGTACTCACCGTTTGTTTGAATTGTATTTGACACAGAATGAAATTGTTGGATCGAAATTAACACTTTTCCCATCATTTTAATATGAGAGATTTAGGGAAATACCCATATTTGGACCTTATATTAGTGATTTATACATGAGTTGACATAATTGTAAAGTTTTATACAATTTCACCTTGGTTGGACACTGCTAACCTTATGACAATGTCTCTTTCTTTTGAAGCAACATTCTCTCTCTTTCAGTTTCTCTCTTTATCTTTTATTATAGTTTCTTTACTTTCACATTTTTTCTTCTAGATATTTTTTTC